ACACAGACACATACAAACACACACAGAGACATATGGACAGGCACACACACATACACACACAGAGACACTTATACACATACACAAAAACACACAGAGACATACATACAGACACACACACACCACCTGACTTTCCTGACAGAGCCACTGGTTTCCTCTTTGAGATCTTTACTCTGGATACTCCTTTGGTCTGAAACACTGTGTTTCTGAAATTTTGGATGCCTGGTCCTATTCCTTTTCAGGGGAAGCTCTTCTGACCACCATTTAAAGAGGTTCCTGTCACTGCCACTGTAAGCCTTCTCAGTTGTCTTCACAGCATTATCTGAAGCTCCGCTTCTCACTTCTTTTGATTGTTTCCTCCCCATTTTTTATCCCAAGTTCAAGGAAACCAGGATTTTAGTGCGGCTTATACATTGCTGTATCTCTAGACCCTAAGTGTGCTGGTACAGGCTAACAAGGCACTCACCAAAGACCTGTTGCAAGATTGAATACTTGCCCTTACAAAGGCCCAGGCTTCAAGTTGGCTTTCAACAGAGCAGGACCTGGAACCCTGGCCTCCTAAGTCAGTCTGGAGGTGGAATTAGACTGGACTTTCACTTTTAAAAAAGATTTATTTATTTATTTAATACAGCATTCTGCCTGGATGTATACCTGGGCACCAGAAGAGGGCACTAGATCTCACTATAGATGGAGATAGGCCACATTGTCATTGCTGGGACTTGAACTTAGGTCTTTTGGAAGAACAGCCAGTGTTCTTAACCTCTGAAGCATCTCTCCAGCCCCTTCATCACTCTCTTGAGAGCTGGGGGTTGGCCTTTATGGGGAATTCACCTTTATTATTTGACCTGGGACAGGGATGTGGCTCAGTGGTCAAGTATTTATTTGCCTACCGTACACAAAGCCTGGGGTTCTAGGACTGCAAAAATAAACACTTATTGTTTGGGAATGGCAGTGGAAATAACAATGGTGTGGTGGAAATAAGACTGTTACCCATAAGCTCATAGATTTGTCACCAATATATGGTTTAGTCACCAGGGAGTGGCACTATTTGAAAAGGGTTAGAAGGATTAAGAGGTATGGCCTTGTTGGAAGAGGTGTGTCACTGGGGGTGGGCTTTGAGGTTTTCAAATGCCCATGCCAAAGCCCAGAGTCTCTCTCTGCTAAAGCATCAACATGTAGAATTCTCAGCACTGTGTCTGTCTGAATGTAGCCATGCTCCTCACCATGACTGAAAAAAAAGTATCAGCTCAGGACCTCCAAGACTTAAGTCCCCAGCACAGAAGAGATTTATTTGTCCCAGGGGGACAGGAAACGGGGGATGGGGGGGGATAAAAAACAAGAGGAAGGAGGGAGGAAGGAAGGGAGAGAGAGAGAAGGGATTGTGGATGTGGGAAAAGGGGATGGAATAAGGGTTCTTTGTCCTGGAGCAGAACAAAGGACTACCTGTGGTTACAGAGGGGATAGATGTGACCCATAGGCAAATGGCAATTTATAAAGGTAAAATGGGAAACCCCATGTTAGGATGAGGTGTTTGATTTTAATTGGGTATGCTAATTAGGTGAGTCAAAGGGGACTTTTGATTGCTGGACTTTGATAGCTGGACCTTGGTAGTCGGCCTCAGGAGGAGTAGGAAATAGCCATATAAGGGAGTGGACCTTGGTGGCTAGCTTTAGGAATGTAATCTAGAGGTTTTCAGCAAGGCAGAGGGATTAGGGGAGAAGGGCAAGGCCTGAAGAGCTGGCCAGAATTGCTTCAATGATGATTATGGACTAATCTCTGAAAGTGTAAGCAAGCCACCCCTCCCCGCATCCCCAGCTATATGCCCTCTTTTATAAGAGTTGTCTTGGTCATGGTGTTTCTTCACAGCAATAGAACAGTGACTAGGACAAATGGCTAAAGCTTAGTTAGCACTTCTATGTACTAGACAAATATTCTCTATTTCAATATATATCTGCTCTTCACAGCCATATTGTGAAAGGGGTACTTAAAATGCGGAGACTAACTGGGCGCGGTGGTGCACGCCTATAATCCCAGCACTCAGGAAGGCAGAGGCAGGCGGATCTCTGTGAGTTCGAGGCCAGTCTGGTCTACAATGCGAATCCAGACCAGCCAAGGCTACACAGAGAAACCCTGTCTTGAAAAAGAAAAAGAAAAGAAAAGATGAAACGGGGGCAGTGGATTATTGGATAACGTGTATGTTTCTATCGAGTCTTTCTTTTGCTCTCGTTCCTCCCCACAGCTTAGGGTGACGCTTGACGTGACAGCCCAAATTCCCAAAGAGACGTTTGTCCTCCTAGACACACTGTGGAAGTGGCGATAAGGAGCGGGCGTCCGAGAGCGCAGGCTCAAGGCAGCCGGAGGGAGGATTGGCGGAGGGATCGCAATTAGAGCGGAAGCCCCGCCCAGCGAGGGCGGGACTTCCGCCTGTAACCGCTTGCGGCTTCTGCCGACGGAGTTGGGACCTGCGGAGATCGGGATGGTGTTGCTCGAGAGCGAGCAGGTACCGGCGGCTCCGGAGGGCCGGGGACTCTAGCAAGTGGGGTCAGCTCGGGTCGCGGTTCTCCCTTTGCGGGCGGGCCAGGGCCGTGAGGGCGAGGAGCGGAGGCTGCCTAACGGGGCCTGTTGTGTTGCAGTTCCTGACGGAGCTGACCCGGCTCTTCCAGAAGTGCAGGTCGTCGGGCAGCGTGTTCATCACCTTGAAGAAGTGTAAGCAGCCCCTGGGGCCGCGCGGGAGAACGGCTGGGAGGGGGCGGCCCGGAGGCCGCCTGCTGTGGGGGGCCCGACTCCGGCCTCCCAGCACCAGCCGCCTCCATGGCTGAGGGACGCGGCCTTGGAAGTGTGGCTGGTGCGTTCCCCGGCACCTGCTCACCGTGACAGTGGTTCCCGAAGTGTCAGAGGCCCACGTTCTGTCAGGCGGCCCTGTCCCTGTTCCATTGGTGAGATGGAATGTGCCTTGGGGTCGCAGTGTGACTCGGGCAAGTCGCCGCTCCCACGCTTGGCCGTGGCAGTCGAGAACAGTGATGGATTGGGTCAGCCCTGTAGCCCTACGGTTTTCACTTTGGACCCAGACGCAGCTCCTGTGGTGGTGTTCGCCTGAATGGATTTTTTTTTTTTTTAAACGCAGATGACGGTCGCACCAAACCCACTCCACGGAAGAGTTCTGTGGAGGGCCCCGAGCCCTCAGAAAACAAGTGTCTGTTACGAGCCACGGATGGGAAAAGGAAGATCAGCACCGTGGTGAGCTGGAGTCTTTTCTTCCTGCTTTGTTTTCTTTTGAGGCGGCCAGGCCGTGAACTCAATCTTCTCCCAAATGGCCCAGGTTTGGGCGAAACCTATTCCACTGTTAGCTAGTAGAATGGACACTTTTTTTTTTTTTTTTTAATAGGTCTTGCTGTATAGCTCAGGCAGACTTTGAACTTGTGATCTAAGAAGATCACAGAAGGAGCTTCAGCCTGGGGCCACAGAGGTCTGTTATCACCTGAGATAGATAACAGTGATGAATTTTGAGCACCTGTAGATTGAATCCAGGCCCCTCAGTTTTTGAGCCTCACCACCCGCTTCCTGCACTGTAAAACACTGGGGAGAGCCATATCTGGATTAGGTCCCCCTCTGTCTCATTTTGGTCTGTCACTCCCAGGCTGTTTGGGGATCAGGATCTTCTCTTTGGTGGAGGGGGTGATGAGGTCCTGTGTAACTTAGGTTCATTATGTAGCGCAGCATGGACTAGAACTCGTAACTCTTGTTTGTTGCCTCTATCTCTAAAGTGATAAGTGTGCACGGCTTTCTCAGTTACTATTTTTTGTAGGACAAATTATCAACAATAAACTGTTGAAACAGAAAGTAGAGGCCAAATGCTGTTCTGCTGTAATTTCTGTGGAAATGAGTATGTGGGTCCATTCTCTTAGCAGTTGATGTGAAGAGTGATTGATGTATTTCCTTTCTGTACTGGGACTTAAGTAAACAATTTCTGGGTATTAGATGATTATTTTTAAGCTGATTTTCCCCTTGTTTTTGTGGTTCACTTGGCAGACATGTAGCTACAGGTTAGGCTTGTTACTCTAGAGGCTATAATTGCGAACCACCGTCTTGGTTTTCTCTGTGTGTAGCCCTGGCTGTTTTGGAACAGAGATTCAGCTGCCTCCGTCTCCCAAGCGCTGGGATCACAGGTGTCCATCTCGGTGCCTGTTGAACCATGGTCTTTATGAGAGGGTGAATATGGCAAAACAAAGATTCCCTGGATTCAGAGTGAATACGTGTTAATTCTACAGAGAGCCTGTGATCACGGTAGCACAGGGCGCTCAGGAAACTGCTGTCAATAATTGATATCTTCCTCCGAGTTACCTTGAGTTTTAAAGTAAAGCAAGTTTATGTGGCTGTTACAGTTGGCTGCCATGAATATGAAACTGAGGTTCTTTCCTAGGTACCTCTTTTATGGCAGCATAAGCTTTATGCTTATGTCAGTCTGAATCAATAGAGGATACTTTTTTTGTTTGAGACAGTTCCTTGCTTTTCTCTTCCAGTCTGGCCTGGAACTCATTATCCTCCAGGCCAAGCTCAGCTGAGGGAGTAGTTTTAATGTATTTTGCATAAGAAAACCAACACTGATAAATTCTTTATCTCTCAGAATCTAAGGGAAAAAAATTAGGGGCATCTGTTTAAGAAAATTTTTTTTCACCTTAAATTTAAAGGCTGTGTTACCCACAAGATCTTCCCATCTGTGCCTCACAGGTGCTGGGATTAGAATTCAGAGTTGGCTTATCTGAGGGATTTCTAAGGTGAATAGGTTTGGTGGGAGCTCCCTTCTACCTTCCTATCCTGGTGCAGTTCCCAAGTGAAAGAAGATGTAGCACAGAGTTGCTCTGTTTGTTCTTGAGTGCAGGGAGGGGTACACAGTGACCCCTTGAGGTTGGGGGAGGGTATCTAAAGATTAGGTAATTGTCCGTGTTTCTTTTTGAGATAGGGTCTCTGTGCTGTCCTGCAACTTGCTCTGTAAACCAGGCTGGCCTAGAACTCACAACAGAGATCCGCCTGCTTCTGCCTCCAGAGTGCACGCCTGGCCTAGGTGCTGTCATGATGGAGCTGCATTTTGAGATCCATTCTGGGTGAATTAGGTGGTATCTATATCTATAAAAAGAGGTGCTCTTTTTCCTTTCCAGGTGAGTTCCAAAGAAGTGAATAAGTTTCAGATGGTAAGTTCTGTTCGCTTCCTCGTGTTCACCATTCCTCCTTGAGGCGAGTGGGCTCTGCTCAGGGTGGGGCCATGCTTCACTGCTTGCCTGTGGTGTTTTATGAATATTGTCCAGCAGTGCTTTTTGTCTTTTTTTTTCCCCAGATCTGAGGACCGAACTCAGGGCCTTGCGCTTGCTAGGCAAGTGCTCTACCACTGAGCTAAATCCCCAACCCCAAGCAGTGCTTTTTTTCCTTTCAGTTTTTTTTTTTAATTTTTTTTTAATTTTTATTTTCAAGACGTGTTTCTCTGTGTAGCCCTGGCTGTCCTAGAACTTGCTCTGTAGACCAGGCCTTGATTTCTTTCAGTTTTTCTTTCCTTCTTTCTTTTCTTTCTTTCTTCTTTTTTTTTTTTGTAATTTTTTTGAGACAGGGTTTCTCTGTGTAGTGTTGGCTGGATTTGCTTTGTAGACCAGGCTGGGATTGAACTCATGGAGCTCTGCCTGCCTCTGCCTCCCTGAGCACTGGGTTTACAGGCATGCACCACCGCACCTAGTTCCTTTCAGTTTTTAAGTCTAGTTTTTTCTTAAACTTCAGATATACTCTGTAATATTGTTGAATAGGAAGTTGCCTTCAGTTTTCCCTTTTTGCTTAAAAAGAAAAACCTGCAGCTCCCTGTGGAGGAGTGTCTCAGGAGCTGCTGAAGGAGTAAAGGCTTTCTGTGGCACACCAGTTCCCAGTACAGATGTCCCGTGGTGTCCCAGTAGGCTCTCTCATGCCAGCTACTCTTAAGTCGACTGTAGAAAAGTCAGCAGCTTCTCCAGTTTGTACTTTTTCTTGCTAAGGCTATGTTCTGGCTTTCAGGCCTATTCAAATCTACTGAGAGCTAACATGGACGGGCTGAAGAAGAGGGACAAAAAGAACAAGAGTAAGAAGACCAAACCAGCACAGTGACAGCCATGGCCGTTACCAACGAGCCACAGAAGTGTGGTTTTCCTTTGTGTGCTGCTTTTGGCACCTCTTGTATGTACCTGTTTTCATGTAAGGGTCCTTTAAGAGAGAAGAGTTTGGGATGGTCTTAGGGAGTTGTGCTAAGAAGCTACTTTATTTTAGGTCTGCATCGTATGGCTGGATGTTCTTAGGTTCCAGCCTTAACATCTAGTCATCCTGAAGAGCAGTGCATCATTAAGCCCAACCACACTGGCTGCTTCTTTGCCTACATATTTACAACAGTAACTGACTCTAGAATGATAGTTACTCAGTTACTTGCCTTGTCTTTGAGATTACTGTAATAGAAATCTGACAGTTTTATTAAAAGTTATATTATCCTACAAGTGTTTTTTTTTTAAACTTAGTTATATAATTTAAAAATATTTAAAAAATTACGTTTAGTTTCTTTGTATGTGTACACATTTGCTCTGTGCCACAGCAACAACTTGAATGATTGTTTCTCTCCTACCACATGTGTCTGGGATTGAACTGAAGGTTGTTGGGCTTGGCTGTAAGTATCTTTATTTGCGATACGCCTGGACCTTGCTAATCTTATCAATATTCCTTCAGCAAAGCTGAGTTCTCAGAGCCAAACGTGAGTTCACTTAATAACATTAGGAGATTAGAGAATCATCAAGAATAAAAGATTCTGCCTAGTGTGGTGGTATATAAGCCTATATATAACTCAGTGGTCTGGAGGCAGGCTAATTTTGAGTTCGAGGCCAGCCTGTGATGTATATAGTGAGAGACCCTGTTCTGCATTCCTACCCCCAACTAAAGAGGCAAAGAGGATTACAAGGGCTGATTTTTGATATCGATGTCTTTTTATCTACTGGGAAAATGTAAATGTTAGGACATTTTCATGTGTTTAGGATAAAGGGAAAAACGAGACTTTTCTTCTCCAGCTCCATATGACCTCTAGTGTTGGCAGAACTGCAACTGGAAAACAGCAGATATATATAAAAGCATTTATTGTATCAAAAAGATAAATTTATAACACACGAAAAACCAACAAAGCTCAGCTTTGTGGGACAGCTTATTAGAATTTAAAGTTAAACCAGGCGTGATGGTACACGCCTATAATCCCAGTGCTTGGGGAGGCGGAGACAGGTGGATAGCTGTGAGTTTGAGGCCAGCCTGGTCTACAAAGTCCAGGACAGCCAAGAGAAACCTTCCCTCAACCCCCCCCCCCAAAAAAAAAATATTTAAAGTTAAAATGAATTGAATGCACAACATTCCAGTATGAGCTCCTGTCCATTTGAACAATGCAGCAATGGTTCTTTAGGGTCAAAACAGGATTCTGTAGTAGTCATCTCTGTAGCTGTACAGGAACAAGACCGATACCCTGCAAAGGAAGGGGCAGATAAACTCGACTCAGTCGGCCAAGATAATTGCTAGCTTTGTTTTTTTTTTCTGTTTTGATCTTATTTATTCTTTATATATTCTGTCTGCGCACCAAATCGCCCTAGAGATGGTTGTGAGCTACGAAGTGGTTGCTGAGAATTGAACTCGGGACCTTTGGAAGAACAGCCAGTGTTCTTAACCTCTGAGCCATCTCTCCAGCCTGCTAGCTTTGTTTTAATTATGAATATGATGGGAGACTGATCACTCGAAAAAGTGTATAAGCTTTCTTGGAACTGTACCTGACAGCTTACGATTAAGGTCTCACTTAGAAGGTTGCCATTCACCACCAGCTTCCCTGACATCCTTTAAGTTACACGTTAGCACAGATTAACATTTTAACATACACAGCAAAGACAGTCACTTTTTAAAAAAATGTCTTTTGCTTTTTTGTGACAGGGTCTTGTGTGACCCAGACTGGCTTCAAACTTGTTTATGAGGCTGAGGATGATCTCAGACTCTTGATCTGTCTCAACTTCTCAAGTGCGAGGGTTGTAGATGTGTACTACCATCCCTGGCTTAGTTCTTTAATTTAAACACTATCTGGGGCTTGGGAGACGGCACAGCTGGTAAAGTGCCAAATAAGCACTGAGTTTGGATCCCTAGAACAGATATTGAAAAGCCGGGCAGAGCAGTGCATGCTTGTAACTGCAGCTTTGGATGGGGTGGAGATAGGTGGGTCCCTGAAGCTCACTGGCCAGTCAGCCTAGCTCATTGATGAGCTTAAGGGTCAGACAGACACACCCTGTGTCAAAAAGAAACGGTGAGGAGTGAACTCCATATGCCATACACATTAGCCTCTAGCCCCACATGAAAAAGCCAACATACTTTTAGAAGTAAGGTACCTGGATGAACAACATACTTGGGACAGCTGCACTCTAGCCCACAGTGCCTTCACTGATAAGATCCTCACTGGCTCAGTCTGAGAGGACTAAGGCTGTCAGTCACACTTCTGAATTGCCAAACCTCATCAAGATACACATGACATGCAGATCCCTTCCCTGAATTTTAACTACATGAAGCCTGCTATAACTTACTTCTTTTCAACTTTGATGCTATAAATTTCATCACAGACGAGTTTGAGGTATCTTTGCTTTGGCAGGCGTGACAGCAGCTGCTTCACAGTCGTGTTAAATGCCTGCTCGTCAGCATCCCACTAGGAGAGAGCAGATGTGACAGCAGAGAGAGCAGCAGGGTTACTGCCTTTCCTTTTCTGGGTCAGAAGAGTTGCTTAGGGCGACACTTTGGGCTCTTCCTTTGAAGCATCAGTTTTCAAGACCACAGGTGTCTAGTTAGAGGGTGCTTAACCTTGCCATAACCCAGGTGTGCTAATGTGACTTTAGATTGCCTTGGGATTTATTGTGTAAGGAAGAGATTGTTGCCTTTAATGTCTACTCATTGGAGTGGATCAAAAGTCAGCAAACTGCTATGGTGGTGTATGCTTATTTGTTTGGTCAACAGGTAATGATGAAACAGGGACTTAATCTGTAGCATTTTCTGGCCCTGAACTGAGGACCCTCCTGCTTTCAGTTCTTAGTGCAGTTTACTTGTTTTTAATCTGTGACTAAACATGGAAAGACAAAAACGTTATTTGGTACGAAATGTTTAAAATGATATTAGATATTAAATATTAACCACATATTAAATGATATGAAATTACCCGTAGCCTGTCATCTCTATTCCTGGGAGCCCAAGAGGACTACTGTACCTCAAGGCCAGCTGGGGCCATGTGTTGGTTAGTTTTTGTTAGTGACACAAACTAATCTGAAAAGAGGGACCCTCAAAAGAAAAACTGGCTCCAGTACATTGGCCCCGGGGCATATTCTTGATTAGGGCTTCCTGTGGGAGGACCTAGCTCACTGTGGGGTGGGGCTGCCCTGGGCAGGTAGGCCTGGACTATGCCACCAAGCCAGCCAGTAGCAGCATTCCTCTGGTTCCTTCCTGCCTTGGAGTTCCTATCTTGGCTTCCCTCAGTAATGGACTCTAGCCTGTAAGAGGTGATAAACCTCTCCTTCCCCACTTGTTTTTGGTCAGTGTTTTATCACAGCTACAGAAAGCAAACTAGGACAGGCTACCTGGTAAGATTATGTTTCACAAAAATATGTAATAAAAATCACCTGTAGCTGTGATTACTAGCTTGGGAAACTTCAAATTTTTAAAAACAAAAACAAAACAAAAAAAAAGTATAAAAGTATAGACCTGTAAACCAACCAACCAACGTGGCTTTTTGTTCTTTTACAGCAGAATCTTCTGTGTAGTTGTACTTTCCTAGCTGGGAAGGTTTGCTCGGGAAACACATGGTACTATGGGTAAGAACCTATATTATGCTAGGCTCAAGTCCTGGCTCTGAGCCTTTGTGGCTGCGTGCATCTGATTTGGGAGTGCCTGTAACACATATCAAGAGAAGGGCCAATGTTGCTAGCTAAATTCCTGATGCTAAGGAAGTTTAAGATCTTTTACTAGTTTTCTTTTGACAAGACTGTGAAAGTCACAATGCAGAACAGTTCCCATTGCTTACCTCTAATGACAAAAACTGCAGGATTGTTTCTTTGGGTAGGTCCACCTGTTAATACACAGAAATGTATGTAATGTACTGAGAAGTCTAAGCAGCACACACTGACTGCAGACTGTGGTGTCGCCATGTGATGATAGGAATGGAGCTTCTGTGAACTTTCTTCTCTGTGCGGATTGAAGGCCCAAGGTTCATATTGGAATTACTCTGAGCCTCTCTTCCATCTTATTCGAGGCAGTCTCAGTGAAACCCAGAGCTGGCTGTGTGCCTCGTCAGCTAACCAGCTTGCCGTGGGAATCCTGTCTTGGCCATCTGAGGTTGGGGTCTATTTATGTAGGTGTTGGGAACCCGAGCTCTAGTCCTCATGCTTGCATGGCAAGTGCTTTAACCATGTCGGCATCTTCCCGCCCCTAAAGCCCCTGAGTGGATTGTGAACTAACAAGCACTTGAGGCTGCACATGCAGATCTCACATCCAGACCTCAGAGATGCAGTGCTGCCTGGCGTGCTTAGGAAGGCCTGGACATGAGTGTGGCCATAAGAAAAGAGAAAGAGGAAAAACACACACAAACGACTTCTCTCCCTGGCTCCTTCTAGCTTTAGGCTGCCTATAACTCACCTCAGGAACAGCCACCCTAGACAGTGCAGACAGATGTTATTTTCAAATTGTTAAAGAAAGTGACTTACAGCCAAAATTTCAATTTCACTGCTCTTCTGATGTAAATTGGCAAGGGTAGTCTGAAGTCGGGTTTGTACCTAATAAGAGAATGGAGTTCAGGGCATGTTAAACTGAGCCATCTTATTCTCATTTCAGAAAACAGGGTGGCAAAGCTAGGGCTTACAAAGGTTTCCAAATAGAACATAAAGATCTGTTCTTGATATATGTTGAAGGGATTTGGAGGTTGAGGTAGAAACTGATTTTAGGTCTTGCTTTGTTGCCCAGGTTGGCCTCAAATTTGTGGTCTTCCCAAGCAGCTGAGATTACAGGTGTGATGCTCTTAACAGTTAAACTGTGGTGGAGCAGCCTTTAATCCCAGCTCGTGGGAGGCAGATACAGGTGCATCTCTGTGAGTTCTAGGCTAGTCTGGTCTACAGAGTGAGTTCCAGGGCAGCCAGGGCTACACAGAGAAATCCTGTCTTGAGGAACCAAAGCAAAACAACAACAAACAAACAAACGCTCTTAACATCGTCTCCCATTAGTGTCGTGGCACACCCTTACCACTCAGATCAACACATTTAACTCGCCATTCTGTCAACCGTCTTTTGTTCTCTTACCTGCACAGTGCTCCTGCTTCTAAGGTTACACAAGTGGTCTTAGCATATGCACACAGCAGATCCTGAGACCATGTACAGAACCACTCACTCCTGTGACTGGCCTAACATGGTCTTATTTAGAAGAGAAACATGTCACTTCGGCTGCCATGGGAGCCGAT